AGTGGAAATACTGATATTAACTTAAAGTTTAATCTAATGTTATTTTATTATGTTAATAATTATTATTAATTTTTAATTTTATCTCAAGGCCATTTTCTATATCCGAATTTATATAATATTATGTTTCATTAAATATATAATAGTAAAGTATCTTTTAAAAAAATTAAATAATAATCTTCTTCTTTAATATATGTAAATTACGTGTCATGTTGTTTGTCCGCAATGGATTCCTAAACTATTGAACAGATTTTAATCAAATTTTACACACTGTGTGCAATTTCATTCAACTTGAAAGATAGAATATCTTAATATATAAAAATTACGTGTCACGTTGTTTGTTCGCAATGGACTCCTAAACTATTGAACAGATTTTAATCAAATTTTACACACTGTGTGCAATTTCATTCAACTTGAAAGATAGGATAGTTTATATCTCAATTTATAGTCGAATTATTTGTTTATTAACAAAGAATCATGATTTAATTATAAATTTATTATTTTTCTTTTATATTTCAAATGATTGATAGTTGTGGTATCGAACTAAACGTTGAGAATGCGTTAATAGAATGAAAAAAAAAAAAAGAAATTATGGAATGAATTGCAATGAAAAAATTGAAGAAAGTTAGAGTAACAAGCATAAGTTCTATTTCTAATAGAAATTTCTTATCTCTTTCAGTATACGATATCCTTGATAACGTGTCGACTAACAAATACGACCAATCATTCAATAAAACATAAACGTAAAAAGGATCTTTTTTCTTATCAATGATAAAGTGGTGCTCAAATTCAAAGATCTTGTACATTTATTTGTTATTTTATTTCCACCACGTTTTACGTGATTAAAATTATTTGATTTACTAATTTTAGTATTTTAATCATTTTTTGTTTTTTTTTTTTAATTATTTTATTACTCATGGACAGTGATAACTTTAAAGGTAAAATTTTCATTCTAATGAAACATAAGATCAAAATTAATAAATATTTAAAGTACTGTAATAGGTATGTAATGTTTAAAACAATGTAACAAACAAATATAATTAATAGAGAACAATACTAAGTCCGATATACTATAATAAATTGTTAATTGAACAAAAGAAATGTGTTTTATTAAAATACTAGCTGTTTTATTATTTTTCTGTAATTAATTATTTGAAGATTCCCGCGCAATGATAACTACGAGAGTCAAATCTTCTAGTAATATAAAAAGAATGTATTACAGTATTAAAATAAATTGTTAATTAATCAATAGGAATGTGTATTAATGTTTAACATTTGAATTATTTGAAAGTTCCCGCGCAGTGATGACTACGAAAATCAAATCTTCTAGTAATATAAAAAGAATGTATTACAGTATTAAAATAAATTGTTAAATAATCGATGACAATGTGTATTAATGTTTAAAAGCACGAAATATACCTTAGGTGTACCGTCTTATTCGAAATTCACCAACAAACTGATACGTTGTCCTCAATAAAAGTTTTTATGTTCAATGTTGTTTACACGACCTTTCAAACGTTACGCATGTGTATAACGGGTGTGTAATATTCCTAATAAATGAAATTTTAAATGATAACTCTTAGATTTTAACTGTTTTATCAATTTTTATGTAATTATTTAAAGTTTCCCGCGCATTGATGACTACGACGATCAAATGTGACTGTAAATGTGTAAAAAAAAAACAAATCAAATATATATCTGACTATTATTAATATTTTATTTTCAACATGACAAGATAGTTGACTAGTATTTCAAAAATATAAAAATACAATTTCAAACGTTACGCATGTGTATAACGGGTGTGAAATATTCCTAATAAATAAAATTTTAAATGATAACTCTTAGATTTTAACTGTTTTATCAATTTTTATGTAATTATTTGAAATTTCCCGCGCATTGATGACTACGACGATCAAATGTGACTGTAAATGTTTAAAAAAAAACAAATCAAATATATATCTGACTATTATTAATATTTTATTTTCAACATGACAAGATAGTTGACTAGTATTTCATAGATATAAAAATACAATTTTTATTTGAATATGTTTAAAAATATTTAATAAAATGTTATATATATATATATATATATATATATACATTGATATACATTTTTAACGAAATCTAATTTTAAAGTAGATAATATTTCTTCTCTCTCTCTCTCTCTCTCTCTCTCTCTCTTTCACTATCTTTTCTAAGAGAGATAGAGAGAGAGGAAAAGATGGATCGCATTACACGGTTTATAACTCTGTCAAGGATAGATACAAGAAGAAAAGATATACGAAGCGAGAAGCGAATAATTGAAATACCGTCACCATCAACATAACATGTGATGCCTTCGAGGGATGAATTAATGGCATTCATGAGAAAAAATAAAAAAGAATAAAAAAAAAAAGAGTCTATAAGAGAAAGAGAGAGAGAAAGAGAGAGAGAGAGATAGAATGATACTCTTCCTATTTTTTGAATTTTTTTTTTTTATTCCATTCTTTCATCAATCTTTTATAATATTTCATTATTATTAATATTATTATACTATTACCATGAAAAATACAAATTCTAATTTATTATTGATGAATATATATATTTTTTTCATTCTGATTGATAAAAAAAAATTATATTTAATATAGGTTAGGTAGGATAGAGGGAAAAGTTTGCACATAATGTATAGAAATTATTTTACCTAACCTAACTTTTAATAAAATATTGGTATAGGATCGAAATATATATTATAATATACTATAAAATACAAATTCTAATTTACTATCAACGAATATTTGTAATTCTGATTGATAACAAAATAATATTTAATATTAAAATCGAAAAGGTGGGGGGTGGGTGGGGGTTGAATTTTGCACGTAATATACAAAATATTGTATCTAACCGAACTTTTAATAAAATATCGGTATCAAATATTATTATAATATTCCATAGAATACACTTAAATACGCTATCTGGTGGCTAAATTGAAAATTAGTATAGATAGGACGAATTGTCTACGTCATCGTGGGATCTTCTAGCATTGGAATACGCTATCTGGTGGCTAAATTCAAAATTAGCCCCTCCCAGAGATCCCAATAGGTAGGGTGGGGGAAACTTTGCATGTAATATACACACCATATTTAATCTAACCTAACTTTTAATAAAATAACAGAGTAGAGGATCGAAATAAGTTTGTTAAAAGCAGTTATCATGATCGTCAAGGTTATTCAAACATATCCTATGGTAATCGATATTTTCCATTAGAAACGGTATCAGAGAGAAATCGTATCTTTAAAAGAGTTAAAGTTTTCTTTGATAAATTGATCGATAGGTTAATCGATGTATATTAAAGGATCGATCAATGATATCTCACCAATCAATGACCATACTCTTTCATTCCAATAAATCATAAATCTATTAAATACACTACCTTTTTATTATTAGTTAACATATATATATATAAACAAATAAATAATCTTATTCGAAATAATAGAAAAAAAAAAAAAATACAAAAAATATTTAAAAGGTCTAATTTAATTAATAATTAATGTTTGTATTATAATAAACAGTCTTCTTTATTTGATAATTAATTTTTTTTTATTATAATAAACAGTCTAATTTAATTAATAATTAATTTTGTATTATAATACAAAGTCTTATTTAATTGATAATTAATTTTGTATTATAATAAACAGTCTCATTCAATTAATAATTAATTTTTTTTTTCAAATATAACTTAATAATAATACAAATATTAAATAAATAATAAATTGACGATTAATAAATCATTGATAATGAGAATCATTGTTAAAAAATGAATGTAAAAACGTATTGAAACCTTGACAGGTAAAATGGTTAAGGTAAACTGGTTACAGTGTTGGTTGGTTAAAAGGTAGAAAAGGGTGACGAAAATAGGGATAACAGTTGATGTATAAGTTCCTTTGCTTCCTCAATATAAATCAAAAGAGAACTACTACACCAACAAGCCCCTTTTACGGAAACGTAATTCACCTCGTCTTGTCCACGTTCTTGGCACCCTTTGAGATACTTCTAAATGACAATGGATGAAGGGAAAAAGGGGAGGATGATAAAAAATGTGCCGAATACACATCGAAATGACTTACTTCACACCCCCCTTACCATCCCCTTCTTCTATCCCCTTTACTAAAACCTTACCCTTCTTTTTTTTTTTTTTTTTATTTCATTCATTCCCCTTTTAACTGTTAAAAGTATGTTAGATATGAAATAAACCTTGAAACATTTAATAAAACCCTTACCGTAAAATTTCTACTAGATTAGACATTTTTTTTTTATTTATTTCTTGTAAAAAATTTTGATTGGCCAAATTACTCACGTTATCGAATAATCAAAATTATATTTATTATTATTATTTATATTTTTCTTTGTTAAAATATATAATAATTATAATAAACCTTCTTCTTTATTTTTTTACTGTATATAATAATAAAATAATAATAATAATAATAATAATAATAATAATATAAATTTGTTTAAAACAAATAATAAAATGAAGTATATAAAAAAAGTTTACGAATTTTTCCTTAAACTAAAGTTTTCTACCAAATTATAAACAAATTAAATTAACTCAAAATAAAAATAAAATTATAAAGCTTATACTCTACCATATATAACAATAATAATAATAATAAAATAATAATAATATAAATTTGTTTGAAACAAATAATAAAATGAAGTATATAACAGAAGTTTACCAAATTTTTCCTAAACAAGTTTTGTACCAAATTAAATTAACTTGAAATCAATTAAAAAAAAAAAAAAAGAAAAAATACAACAAAAATTTGATAAAGTTTGTAAAATTAATTATGGTGTAAAAATATCTAGAAACTTTTGAAATTAATTACTATTAAATAAAATTGATAACATACAAAGTTTATACAGTTAAAACTGTTACACTAAAACATGAGTTGTAAAAGTTGTACGTACAAGTTTAATATTTAAACAATTATTTATACAACTAATGTTATTATTATTATTTAACTTACCTTAACAGGTATACAAAAAATGATCAAAAGAAGATCAGCTGTAGCCAAACCACCGAGAAAAACGTTGGTTGGTGTTGCTGGTAATGGTCTGAGTCTTGGACAAAGTGTTGATGCAATGATGACTACGTTTCCTACACAAAAATCAAAAACAATTTTATTATTTCATTATTATTATTATACTATTATTCTCATTGATATTTATAAGAGAAATTTCTAATGGTTGAAGTGACAATTTATGATGGAAAATGACAGATTTAATGGTTACCATTCTAACTGTTTAATATCATTTGTTAACTATTAAGTCGAGTCATAAATAACTTCCCTTTTTTATGAGACAAAGAATGGACGCTTTTCTGCGACTGATAAGTGCAAGACATGGTGTTTTTTTTTGCACTCTTTGCAATTGTTCAACGTATCTATTGGATTTTGTTCTCAATATTACCTTTAAAAGGTTCATCAAAGTTGGAAATACGTCCCTGCACTCGGTTCATCTTTTAACCTTTGCTTACCACTCTTCTTGGAGTAACACGCTTACCACACCCGGGTCTAAAGGACCCGGACGAGAAAAATCGTCATAAAAAAGAAACTATTGCATAAATTTACTTCAACATTTTTTTTTGAGACCTCTTTAATACTTACTTTAAAAGACTATATAGATTTTATAGCTTTAAATTAAATTTAAATATGTTTAAAAAATTACCAAAGTTGAACAATTGAGAAAAACGACTCAAGTTGCAAAAAAGGTCTGGGTCTTTTGGATCAAGTGTGGTAAGCAAAGGTTAAGATCGTATTTCTAGAACGGAATTTTACAAATCAATTTCTGACTGCCCTATCAGTTATCAAGTCCTGCACTGTATAAGCTGTATATTTTTGTCAGTTGCCACTTTAGTGCTATTGCCTTGTTGTTTCAATTCTTAAAGCATTACATGGTCGAATATGCACTTTTTACTATCCATTACAGTGGTTAAGAAAAAATGGTTAAATGTAACATTGATTACATAAAAAAAAGTTGACAGAAGACTAAACTGAATCCTCATCTATACAGTGATATCAAAAATTCGTTTGTTTCGGTGACTTATAGTAGGTAAATACGAAAAATGGATTCAACATAGACGTATCAGAAGTTACTTATGACTCAACCTAATATTACTATACATTTCAATACTTTGTGTTGAGTTGAATGAAAATAACGATACAAGGTATAAACGTGGTCATTGGTTAAACCATTGGTGAGAGAAATACCAAAGTTCATTGTTAACATATCATTGATTATGAAAGTGTCATAATAAATTAGGAGTATAAATACCAATTATTTATGATAGTACATATATTTAATCATTGATTAATTAGCTTATCAAATATAATTGTATTTATCACAATTATATTATTAATTATTGAAACTTAATAACCCAATAATATTCATTCAAATTCGATTAATCAAAATTATCTAATAGTTGAAGTAATAAATTGTTTAGAAAATATGTGTTTGCAACAGTTTGTATGAGAAATCAAAATGCACATACACTAATATTAATTTTAATTAATTGTAAGTTTTGTTTTCCACTTTTTTTTTTTGTTAACTTAAAAAAAGTATGAATGTGTGGCCTTTATAAAAAAAAAAAAAAAGAAAAAAGTAAATCAAAATTATGTTATAATAATTATTATAATTAAATAAATTGTTTGCAAAATGTGTGCAAGAGTTTCTATGAAAAACCAAAGTGCATTCAGCTATATTAATTTTAATTAAATTTTTTTTTATCTTTTATTTATTTTATTTTTTTATTTATTAACTTACAAAAAGTATGAATGACCTTTATAAAAAAAAAATAATCCAACTAAAGTGTACTTTTCATTAATAAAATTGAATTTGGTGCAGTTGATTTGCATACTGTTTTACAATTTCATTTTTATCATCAGATAATTTTGTCTTCTTTTATTTCTCAATTTTTTTTTTCTTCTTCTTCTTCTTCTTCTTCTTCTTTGTCTTCTTCAAAGATAAAAGATACGAAATAAAATCTTCCTACTTTCTTTCTTACATTTTTTTTTTTTTTTTTTTAATTTTTATTTGATCTTAAGGTAAGTAATGAATATTTTAATTAAAATTTTACCGTAGGATTTGAAAAAAAGATTTGATTTTTAATTAAGTCTTACCTATTAATCCAAGAAAAAAGGTCAGCGAGTAGACAACTAGAACAGGAGCAAGCTCCTTCCATCGAAATTTAGTGAAAGACTCGTTCATATCATAATCAGGAAACTTGATTGTTCCGTTTGTCTCATTGAACGTCATAACGCCGATCGATTTTCACGATTTTCACGATTTTCACCAAAAAACTTTTTTAAGTAAATTAAATCAACTAACCCAACGAACGTTAGAAAATCGTTTTATAATTTTTCATTTAAACATAAACGACGACGACGACGACGACGACGACGATTTAAAACTTTAAATAATGAAAATCACCTAATGGAAGAAAGTTCATTCCCATTCACCGTCATACCTTGTTCGTTTTGTCTTAAATTTTATCAAATTGATTTCATTGATTTTTGTTTCATACAAACTTCAATTTATATTGGTTTATTTTTATTCAAATATTCAATGTCTCATCGAATACCCCATGGACTTCTGTTATTTAAATAATCAAATTGTAATCAATCTTTAGAAATAAAAAAAAAAAATTATAAAAATGAGAATGAAACATCAGAATTCTCTTGTTACTCTTTGTTATTAAACAAATACTTTGATTATAAATTGAGATATAAACTATGTTATCTTTCAAGTTGAATGAAACTGCACACAGTGTGGAAAATTTGATTAAAATCGGTTCAGTAGTTTAGGAGTCCATTGCGAACAAACAACGTGACACATAATTTATATATATTAAGATAAAATAAAAAAAAAAATTCATAAAATTTGTACACCATAGTCTTATATAAAACACACGTGTTAGAAGTGAAACTTTCTTAAAACCTTCGCTTCGAGAGAATGAGTCGAATGCAGAGTATCAGGAGTCAGATAATTGTAGGGTTTATTTATTATAAAAAAGAAAAAACAAATATCATGCGATTGCATTTCAAAAAAAAAGTTCGATAAGTCTACGAAAAAATGAGTCAATGATCGAAGGACTTTGTATTTTTCACAAAATTTCAAATGATCTACGAAGAAATTTGTCAATGAACATTGACTGAACTATTTTTCGTAGATACTCGTGCATTGACAAATTTCTTCGTAGTTCATTGATTTTCATAAATTGAACAAATGTTTTTTTTTTTTTTCCCCTACACTCGTGCATTGATTGAAATTTTTTGTCGTAAACTCGTAAATTGAAATAAAAAATCAATGCATACTGTCTTCTATCTCATTCTCTCGTCGTTTCATCGTTTCAACGTTTCGTTTCGTTTCGTTTCATTTCCGTTATCCATGGATTTTCGTTCGCTTTTTTTTTTCAAATCAGCCCCATTCTAAAGAAGTTTTCACTTCAGAAAAAGATCAAATTGAAATGAAATCTCGAAAAAGAAAAATACACGTGTAAATATCGAAAACGTATGAAAGTTGAAAGTTACAGATGAGGGTTAAAAGTCGAAACAAGAAAAAATAAAAAAAATAAAAAAACGAAGACGAAGAAGAAGAAGAAGAAGAAAAAGGGGAGTAGAAAAATAATGGGAACGACGACTTCGCATCGAGGGTAACTGCGTTCCGGTCGTGAGAATCCTCGAAATAAGAAAGAAAAGAAAGAAAACAAAAAGGAAGGGGTGAAAAAAGCAAAGCAAAAAAAAAAGGAAAGAATGAAAGAATGAAAGAATGAAGAAAACGAAAAAGTAGAGTTACAAAATCGCGATAATGACGATAATTGGAACGAGGGTGCATTTGGAATAGACCGACAAAAAAAAAAAAAGAAAAAAAGACAAAAAAGTTGGCAACAATTTCAATGAAAAATCTTTCTCTCTCTCTCTCTNTCTCTCTCTCTCTCTCTCTCTCTCTCTCTCTCTCTCTTTCTCTTTCACACACACGATTTTTATTCGAAATTCGAGTTGTCTTGCATTTGGTTGCATTAGATAAATCATTAATGTAATTCTAATCGAATAAATAACCCACCCCTTTCTCAAAACCACCCATCTGATTTCTTTATCATTAAATTTAATATTGTTAATCAATTAAAAAAAAAATTCTGCAAAATCTTTTTCTTGTTTGAGTAAAGTAAACTGTAAAATGTAAACTATTGTTTCTAGAATGTGTTAAACATTGATAATGCGATTTAAAATGATAATAGAAAGAGAGACACTTGGATGCTTACAAAACCAAAAAAGAGAGAACAAAATAAAAAATAAATAAAATAGAGAGAGAGAGAGAGAGAGAGAGAGACAAAGAAATTGAAGTTTGCAATGCATTCGATAATGTTATTTCATTCGATATCAAACAAGATTATCTTTCCTCTCGAGAATTCTATTGTGTAAATTGAAAACAACTTTTTTTTTATCTCTCACCTCTTTTTTTCCAAACCCACTCTCTCTCTCTCTCTCTCTTTGGTCGTATTTTTTAATATTCTCTTTCATATTTGCATTAAAAAAAATCTCATAGAATGCAAATATAAGATTAACTAATATTTATAATAATATTACTGTATAATTATATAGTTATATTATATTAAATAATAATAAGTCATGTTAATATTTTTTTTAGTTTATGCATGTGATATTATTATAGATATTATTATTAAATTATTATTAATTTATTATGTAATATAATACATTAAATGTATTATTATACTATATAAAAAATATATAATTTAATATAACTATGTAACTTTAGTTATAATATTAGTTATATTAACTAATATTAACTAAAACTATAATTATATAATTATATATAAAAATAATATATATTATAACACACTAATATATTTTTATAATATAATAATATAATTGTGTATATTACAAAATAATACAAATCTTAACACACAAAAGTAATCCTAATTTACTTAATCACAAACTTTCCTATAATAAATAACATTTTATTACAAAAGAAAATAAATAAACAAGTATTATACTTATTGATAATACCTAACACACACACACACACACCCATCATTAATAATCAATCGATAGATATTTTGTTCACGAAATAAATGAAATA